TCCTCAGATACTGAAGCAATTTCATAGATTCACAGATTCATACAGCGCAGAAAAGGCCCTTTGGCCCACCGAGTCTGCACCAACATAACTACCACTAAAAGTTCACTAATCCCAATTTCCTGCACTTGTCCCATATCCTTGAATGATATGATATTTGAAGTATTCATCCAAATATTTTTTGAAGTTTGTAAGGTTTCCGGCCTCCACCACCTTCCCAGGCAGTGCATTCCAGATTCCCACTATCGACTGAGTGAAAAATATTTTTCCCAAATTCCCTCTGAATCTCCTGCCCCTTACCCTAAAACTATGCCCTCTCATGACTGACCAAGGGGAACAGCTGTACACTATTCACCCTGTCCATAGCCCTCATAATCTTAAACATCTCAATCATGTCCCCCCCTCAGTCTTTCTGCTGTAAAGAAAATAATCCAAGCCTATCTCGTCCCTCCTTACAGCTCAATTTCTCCATCCCCGGCAACATCCTGGTGAAACTCCTCTGTAACCTCTCTAGTGCTATCACATCCATCCTGTAGTGAGGTGACCCAAACTGCAGACAGTGCTTGAGCTGTGGCCTGACCGACGCTCTGTACAACTCCAACACTACCTCCTTGCTCTTATACTCTATGCCACCAGTGATGAAAGCAAGTGTCCCATATGCCTTTTTAACTATCCTATTCATGTGCTCTGTCAACTTCAGGGATCTGTGAGTAATTACTCAAAGGTCTGTTTGTTCATCTAAGTTACTCAGTATCCTGCCATTCACTAAATGCTCGCTCATCTTGTTTCTTCTTCCAAAGTGCATCACCTCGCACTTATCAGGGTTAAGTGCAATCTGCCAATCTGACCAACCCATCTATAGGGGTTCATGTTCAAATGCCACAAGAGCTGGACAATATCCAGGGTTGGGCTAACAAGTGCTACTATCAACATCCCTGGTGGTTACCATTGACCAGAAACTTAACTGGACCCGCCACATAAACACAGTGGCTACAAGAGCAGGTCAGAGGCTAGAAATACTATGGCAAGTAACTCAACTCTTGACTACCCAAAGCCTGTCCACCAGCTACAAGGCACAAATCAGGAGTGTGATGGAATTCTTCCCATTTGCCTGGACGGATGCAGCTCTGACAACACTCAAGAAACTTGACACCATCTAGGGCAAAGCAGCCCCCGTGATTGTCACCACTCCATTCCCTCCACCACCGATGCTCAGTAGCAGCAGTGTGAGCTACTTACAAGATGCTGTGCAGAAATTAACACAAGACAGCACCTTCCAAACCCACGACCACTTCCATCTAGGGGGACATGGCTACATTGGAGAATGACTACCTGCAAGTTCCTCTCCAAGCCATTCACCATTCAGACTTAGAAACATATTGCCATTTCTTCACTGTCGCTGGGTCAAAGTCCTGGAATTCCCTCCCCAGGGACATTGTGAGCCAACTTATAGCCTGTGGACTGCAGTGGTTCAAGAAGGCAGCTTGGCACCAATTTTCAAGGGCAACTAATGACAGGAAATAAATGCTGGCCAGCCAGCGACGCCCACGTCCCACAAGTGAAAATCTGACAGTTAAAAACTGTTTTCAAATTCATATTTATAGGGCCAAGCACTGTTTTTCAAGACACTCTGTAAACTTTCTTTTTGTTGAAGCATTTAGCATGAGCTCCTTCTTTTCCTCTTGTCTTTCTGAATGCCATCTCCATTTGGCTAGACTGACACATCAGGAGCCGGTGACTAGGAATGACCAGGCACTGCTGATCTCCCTGATTTTGTCTTCTCCCCTGGCAATTGCCACAGCCAATATTGGCAATCTCCTTGCACAAGATAACTAAGTTTAGGAAGTAAGTGGAACAACACTAAAATTTGTCTTGCTTCTGACTACTTTACTTGAAAATATGCAGGCAGTTTAAAATATGCATTACAAAATTGCGACAACTTTCAAATTATGACAGCACCTAACAACTATGCAGAGCTATAGCATTTTACAGTATTCCACCCCGGATCTCAAATCAGACCAAATTAAAAATGTTCACTATCAGAATGTGTAAAAGCCATGGTAATAATATTTCCAGGCTGATAAATCTCAATTTTGAACAATACTTGGAAAACTACATCAATAATACTTCATAAAATTGAGGTCATGGTTACAAATGGAGCTCCTGTTGTGATGAATTTTAAGTACGTACTCAGAAGACATTTGTAATTTAAAGTCACTTATATTTCTTGGCAATGAACCACTGGAACATTTCTTCTTACAATTCACTTGGGTGTCTCCATCTGATTTACACAACTTTTACATAAAGTAGAAAGGACAAGGAGTTAAACACTAGACAAATTGGGGATAAATTATATTTATGACAAGTCCAAACAAGACACATGCTCCACCACTGAAACAAAGGATTATATTTTACAGGGTGCTGTGGTCCTCTTGTCTCCATCTGCCCGACTATTATATAAAAGCTGAATTTCCATGCCTCAGAGTCAGGAAAGTCTGTCTCAGAGTCTCCCAGCAGCTCTATGATCACAGCCATACTTGACAGGAGTGGTGGTTATTTCTGGGACTAGAAGAACTTCCAGTGGAGCTGTCACTGCAGTTTGTGGGGGATATTTCACTGGAGTCAGGGTCAGAGTGAGTTTAGCGACAGGTAATGGGTTTGAGAAGCAATGGTGGGGGGGGAGTGAGAGTAAAATGGCAAGTGTAACTGAGGAAGGTGTGGTGGTAAAACAATAAGGGTGACTGGCAGGGAGTGGTTGTTGCAGGATTTTACAAGATACCGATGGGCACCAGATGACCACACCATCCTCCCCACCTTAACTTGCCCAACACCAACCAGGCTACCCTGTTATGGGTAGAATATTGAGATGAGGGTGGCCATTCGGTGCTCAAGTGGCCATTCATTCAGAGCCTTGTTATTCCGATGGTGGACGAGCTGCTTGCCACATACAGAGCCAGAAAACGTCACACAACATGGGGTCAAACAGCCAGAAGGGCAGGTAGACTACACACTAGAAATTAATGACCCCCCAACCCCACCCCTTACTCAAACCTACCACCCGGGGAAGCAAAGAAGAGGAATATTAAACCTATCCATTTGGCAAAAATTGGGTTACTTATCTACAAGAAAGCCATCTACATTCTACTTTGCTTAATTTTTAATTTGGTGAGGTCTAAATTGACAGATCCACAGATCAGGTCTGATTACATCAATTGGACACCAATGATATTTTTAACTTAGGGTTTGGCAGGGAAGTCACTGATTTCGCAACACACTGAAGCCAGTCCAAATAAGACTGGAATATGAAGAGGCCCAGAACAGTATTCCTTTTACTTTATTTCAGATGATCAAGATGACCAGGAGTGATTGCGCAGGCCTGATGACATTTCTTCTTCCAAGTTGATACAGAAACCCCCTTTATCACACTTAAATGCATGTCCACTGGAAACCCTAGGCCACTTGATTTTCAATCAGGCAGATAGCCACTCATACAAAACACAAGCACAAGGAACAAAAGTAGGCTACTCAGCCTTTTGGGCCTTCTCTGCCATTCAATAAGGTCATGGTTGATCTGATTTTAACCTCAACTTTACATTCCTACATCTCCCTGATGATCTTTCATTCCCCTCAGTAATCAAGAATATATCTACCTCTACCTTAAGAATATTTAATGTTTCTGCATCCACTGCCTTTTAAGGAATGAAATTTCAAAGACTCAAAACCTTCAAAGAGAAAATGATTGTTTCCTCCTCTGTTTTAACTGAGTGGTCCCTTAATTCTAAACTATGGCCCTAGTTCAAGATTCTTGCACAACAGGAAACATGTTCTCAACATCTACCCAGTCAAGTCTCCTCAGGATTTTAAATGAAACAAAGAACTGCAGATGCTGGAAATCTGAATCAAAAACAGAAATTGCTGGAAAAATTCTGATCAATTTGGTCAGCAGTCAGTAGAAATGGGTCCAAAGAGTGATAATAAATTTCTGTCATTAAGTTTGACAGGATTGCTGCATCTCTGAACTTTCCAGTTTCTTTTAAATAAAGCTCATTAGCCTGTTAGCCTTATCAGAGGATTAGATTAGATAGGGTGGACAGTGGGAGCCTTTTTCCTCGGATGGTGATGGCTAGCATGAGGGGACATAGCTTTAAATTGAGGGGTGATAGATATAGGACAGATGTCAGAGGTAGGTTCTTTACTCAGAAAGTAGTAAGGGCGTGGAATGCCTTGCCTGCAAAAATAGTTGACTCGCCAACTTTAAGGGCATTTAAATGGTCATTGGATAAACATATGGATGATAATAGAATAGTTTAGGTTAGATGGGCTTCAGATTGGTTTCACAGGTCGGCGCAACATCGAGGGCCGAAGGGCCTGTACTGCGCTGTAATGTTCTATGTTCTATGTCCCTCAATAGTTGGGATCAGTAGATCTCTAAATTTAACTCTAATTTCTGAAAATTATTAAATCTGTAAAAATTTTTATTAAGTGCCATCTGTGATGGTACAAGGAACAGTTCAAACAGAAAACGAGAGGCACACATAAACAGCAGAATTTACTCCTTCAAGGATCAGATGTACATGAAGGATGGTAAATTCACAATGATTCTATAAACATGATATTTCAGCAAAAAAATGATCTCAATGGAACAAACTTCTTAAGAGCATCAGAGGAAGAAGATGGTATGTGAAATGCAAATTAGTATAAATTCATTCAAATGCAAATTATATATACCTTTTAATTTCATAAAATAACACTTTTGGATACAGTATTTGAATAATTTGAGATTACATATATAATAGTGTAGCAGATTTGGGAGATAACTGATGCCTGTACGCATAGTTATATCCTTTAATTTTCAATGGTAAAAGGAGAATCCATTGGACTGGACCTCCACTTGCACAACATCTTTTGTATTTTCATAATCATTTGAAAATGAATTCTATTTCAGCATTTTCTATTTTTATTTCAGAATCCATTGAATGCCTGGACTTGGTCACAAGTCTTACCTTTGGGTTTGGATGACGGCTAATAATAAGGCTAATAGGGCCTGGGCCACATTCACTTAGAATTGCATACGCTTCACTCAGAGCTGCATGTCGCAGGCTTACTGAGTCCACCTCCAAAATTTGATCACCTCGGCTGGAATGAAAAAGAAAGAAAGTTATGTATTCGATTTTAGTGTGTTAAACAAAATTAAGAGGCATGATGCCTTAATTGTGATGTCTGTATTTCTAAAGTGCATATACACTAAAATTCAACTGTAAGGAGCTAATTTAAATCATTTGATTACATACTTTTTTTCTAGCCCAACATTTCATGTGGAAGATTACAATCAATTTTAAACTGAAGCCTTTTAAACGAGATTATGTTATTTTATTCTTTTAATGCAGCAAGTACCACATGTAGGACCGGACTTAATGATGTGGTGATTCTCTGTCCACTGACTGGAGAACCAGAGGCAAACTCTCTGTGGTCATTCCTGGAATTCTAAAATGATTTAAGTTCTAACATATCTGCCCGCTACTGGGACTTCTGGAGCCTCCAGGATGGACACCATACCTGCAGCTGATGATCGATTAGAGGGTGGCAACTCTTCAGTATCAGCAGTGTTCCTAGAGGCTGGTACTGCAAGAGGTCCAGGAGGAGGAACAGCACTGGAGGCCCCAAAATCCAGGTAAATGGAATGGCCTCAACTGCACCAGCAGGCAGACCATGGGGAGAGGTGTCAGGAAGTCAATGTGGAAGGTGAGAAGGAGATATGTCTTCCCACAAGGACGGTTAGTGCTGCCAATGTGATTCTCCTCTGGATGCTTGTTTATAAGCAGGATGACTCCTCCCTAGCCCCACAGGCAGATCTGCACAGCATGGTAGTCTGCCACATGTATGTATGTCTGTGTATATATGTGTATGTATGTATTAACGTACGTATGTATGAGCACGTGCGCACCCGTGCATGCGTGGCCAACCCTCACCCATCCACCACTGTCAGCATGAGGCCCTGACTCAGCCACTTACAGACCTCAATTTGCTTATGGTAGAAAAGCTAAAATTGACCAATTAAGCAGATTTGATAATGTGATGGGGTCTCCACCCCTCGCATTGTACTACAATGATGTGCTCCTTTCTGGTGCCAGGTAGGATGTCTTAGTTTTTTTATAGGTTCCATTCTGCACTCAGTGGAAATATGTGGGTTCAGGTACAAGTCTTCTTTTAAAAAGGAAAACATTTTCCATCTTATAAAGTTGGCAGAAAATTACTAAAACTCTTTAGCTGCTCTCGTATCAACAATCCTTATACAAATAAGACCACAGGACACAAAGAAAGTAACATTGGCAAAAATGCTTTTTGAAACAACATACTTTTCAATTTAATGCTGACATCTGCCCTCTTTTATTACTGTGCGAAGTGAAGGTCTTTGTAAAGTTTACCCTTCACTTCCCTCCTCACTGAATCATATAGGATTCTTAAGGGGCCAGATAGGGTAAATGCTGAGAGGATGGTTCCTTCCATGGGAGAGTCACGGGCCAGAGGTCAAAGTCTCAGAAGAAGGGGATACCAATTTAAGACTGAGATGAGGTGTAATTTCAAATCTCAGAGGGTTGAGAGCCTTTGGAACACTTGCCACAGACAGTTGGGGGGACAGAGTTATGTGTATACTTAAGACTGAGACAAATAGATTCTTGATCAGCAGGGAATGAAGAAAATGCAGCAAAGTGCGCGAGGAATGTCAGATCAGCCATGACGCTACTGAATGGCGGAGCAGGCTTGAGGGGACAAATGTCTACTGATGTAACTATTTCATATGTTATGCTCTATGCACCATGGGGTAATGGGGACTATTCAGTTTCACTGATCACAGCTCCTGGGTCATTTGACTTCATTGAAATTCAGAGTACAGTGGCAATTTGCCAAAACTGAAATGCAAGAGGGACTGACAAGCAGCAACTCATTGATGGATTGCAAAATTGTTTCAAGGTATACCAACTAAATCAGAACAGAAGGCATCAGCTATAATCTATGTGACGTTTAGTTATGACTTATCACCCATCTAGTTTAAAATCAGATCAACACACTGCTGGAGAATGTTTAAAATGACTTCTTCCCCCAAGAAGTTGTTGCATATCATGGTTTGTAGACAGCCTGTTAAAAGTGTTTATGATGTGGAGATTCAGCTGTTTCAGAACCTTTGAGAGATTTGTTTTTAAATCTGCCATCTCATGCATTGATTTGATTGTCGTTGCTGAAACAGTTGGCAAAGAATCCTAGAGTTCTAGCAGTCTCAATTATGACAAAACATTCCCAGGATATAGTGTAGCTGAGGCAGAAAATGCAATTCCCATCATGACCCGCTCTTATTGAACATTCTGAATTCCAATTGTTGATGGAGCTGGTCGGGTCCTAAAGGACAAAGCTGCTAGACTGGTTCTGCTGCAGATGGTGAGGAACTAACAGGAGGGAAAAACATACTTGACCTCATCCTTATCAATCTGTTGGCTACAGATGCATCTGTCCATACAGTATCAATAAGAGTGACCACTGTACAGTCCTTCTGGAGATGAAGTTCCACCTTCACATTGAAAATACCCTCCATCATGTTGCGTGGCACTATCATCGTGCTAAATTGCACAGACTTCCAAAAGATCTAGCAACTCAAAACCTCACCCTTGAGGCACTGTGGGTCATCAACAGTAGCAGAATTGTACTCCAGCACAATCCATAACATCATGACCCGGCATATCCCACACTCAACCATTACCATCAAGCCAGGGGATCAATTGTGGTTCAATGGAGAATGTAGGAGGGCATGCCAGGAGCAGCACCAAGCACACCTGAAAATGAGGTATCAATCTGATGAAGCTACCAAACAGCTCTACTTGCATGTCAAACAGCATAAGCAGCAAGTGATAGAGTTAGGTGATCCCACAACCAACAGATCAAATCTAACCTCTACAGTCGTGAATGGTGGTGGACAATTAAATAACTCACTGGAACAGGAGGCTCCACAAATATCCCCATCCTCAATGATGGAAGAGCCCAGCACATCAGTGCAAAAGGTAAGGCTGAAGCTTTTGCAGCAATCTTCAGCCAGAGTGGCAAGTGGATGATCTATCTCGGCCTCCTCCAGTGGTCTCTAGTATCACAGATACCAGAATTCAGCCAATTCGATTCACTCCCCGTCATATCAAGAAACAGTAGGAGACACTGGATATTGCAAAGGCTACAGGCCCTGACAATATTCCAGCAATAGTACTGAAGACTTGTGCTCCGCTCCCCTAGCTAAGCTGTTCCAGTACAGTTACAACACTGGCACCTACCCACCAACATGGAAACTGCCCAGGTATGTCCTGGACACAAATCCAACCCGGCAATTACTACCTCATCAGTCTACTCTCAATCATCGGTAAACTGATGGAAGGTGTCATCAATAGTGCTATCAAGCAGCACCTGCTCAGAAATAACCTGCTCAGTGATGCCCAGTTTGGGTTCCGCCAGGGTTACTCAGCTCCTGACCTAATTACAGCCTTGGTTCAAACATGGACAAAAGAGCTGAATTCCAGAGGTGAGGTGAGAATGACAGCCCTTGACATCAAGGCCGCATTCAGCTGAAAGTGACATAAAGGAGTCCTAGCAAAACTGGAATCAGTAGGTATCAGGGGACAAACTCTCTAATGGTTAGAATAATACCAGCACGTAAGAAGGTGGTTGTGGTTGTGGGAGGTCAATCATCTCAGCTCCAGGACAACTCTGCAGGAGTTCCTTAGGGTAGTTTCCTAGGCTCAACCATCTTCAGTTGCTTCATCAATGACCTTCCGTCTGCCATAAGGCCAGAAGTGGGGATGCTCGCTGATGATTGCATAATTCGTGAGTCCTCAGATACTGAAGCAGTCCATGAATAAATGCAACAAGATCTGGACAACACGCAGGCTGGCAGGTGGCGAGTAACATTCGCACCACACAAGTGCCAGGCAAGGACCAATTCTAAGAGACAACCTAATCACTGCCCCTTGACATTCAATGGTGTTACCATAAAAAAATCACCCACTATCAACATCCTTGGGATTACAAGTGACCAGAAGCTCAACTGGACTCGTCATATAAACACAGTGGCTACAAATGCAGGTCAGAGGCTGGGAGTACTGCTGCGAGTAACTCACCTTCTGACTCCCCAGAGCCTGTCCACCATCTACAAAGTACGAGGCAAGAATACTTCCCATTTGCCTGGATGGGTGCAGCTCCAACAACACTCAAAAAACTTGACACCATCTAGGAGAAAGCAGCCTGTTTGATTGGCACTACACCCACACGCATCCACTCTTTCCACCACCAATGCTCAGTAGCAGCAGTGTGTACTAATAAAAAAGACGTACTGTAGAAATTCATCAGACGGCATTTCCAAATGCATGAACACTTCCATTCAGAAGGAAAAGGGCAGCAGATACATTGGAACACCACCACCTGCAAGTTCACCTGCAAGTTCACCTGCAAGCTCCCCTCCAAGCCAATCAGCATCCTGGCTTGGAAATATATCACTATTCCTTCATTGTCATTTGGTCAAAATCCTAGAATTCTGTCTCCAATGGTATTGTGGGTCAACCCACAGCAAATGGACTGTAGCAGTTTAAGCAGGCAGCTCACCTTCTCAAGGGCAACTTGAGGACAGGCAATTAAACAAAAAGGCCGACCAACCAGCGATGTCCACATGCCATAAATGAATTTTAAAACACTGTCTTTCTTACCTTTCGGTGAGATTGTGCCTTATTGAAGGGACTAGTATTTATGCATTTTCCTTTATTACTGGGAGGTACGGTGTGGGACTCACGTGGTATGGAGTTTAAGTTGGATGCAGCTGAGACTAAGGGAAAGCTCTGTAAGAAAGCCAAGGGTGAGCAGTGGACCTGGGATCAAGGTGTTAAACCTGTATTTCACAGGGAAAGAATAGTAACTTTCTCTCAATTTATAAAACCTGCTGTAGATTGACATAGTAACGGGTAAAATTCTGAGAGGTGCTACTTGCTCTAGTTCAAAAATTTTATGAAGTGGCAATTTTCTGGGTGCCTCAATAAAGTAAAGGCAGACATTTTACCAGGCTGTATAAGAGATGACGATCCCACATTCATTTTTAAGGCTGTGTCAAGTCATCTAAACTCTACCATTGAGGCAACAGGGCAATACAGATTTCAAGCACAGTATGCTTTGGAAAGGAAACAAAGTTTCTATTCTTGACCTCTATCCTGTACAGCAACCTGGAAAGCATGGATTTTAGAGGTTGCTAATGAGGAGAATTGGTTTCCACTCTGACTCTGTCCTTGGTTAAATAACTTACAGACATTCATTAAAAATTGCATCTAAAGAGTAGGCATCATCAGCAACTTGAGTGAACAGAAAATTGGAAAGAAAAGTGATCTTTTACAAATCAGTTCCTGAAATATATTGATTTGATGTATTATTGTCCTATGTACCTAGGTACAGTGAAAAGCTTTGTTTTGCGTACAGTCCAGGCAGATCATACCATACAAAGTGCGTTATGGTAATAGAACAGAGCAAAGAATATAATGGTAAGTCTGCAGAGAAGGCGCACGAAGGGCGAGATCAACATTAAATTTAAAACTTGAAAGGTCCATTCTGAGGTCTAATAACAGCTGTTCTTGAATCTGTTGGTATGCATGTTTAAGCTTTTGTATCTTCTACCCAACAGAAGCGGTTTGAAGAGATTACAGCCAGGGTGGGAGGGGTCTTTGATTATGTTGGCTCCTTTCCCAAGGCAGCAAGAAGGACAGATGGAGTCAATGGATGGAAGATTGGCTTGCATAATAGACTGGACTGTGTTCACAACTCTGTAGTTTCTCAGGTCCTGGGCAGAGCAGTTGCCATGCCAAACTGTGATGCATCCAAATAGAATGCTTTCTATGGTGCGTCTATAGAAGTTGGTAACAGTCTTTATGCACATGCCAAATTTCCTTAACACCCTGATGAAGTAGAGGCATTGTTGTGCTTTCTTGACTGTAGCATCAACATGGGTGGACCAGAACACTTGATCTGAACTGTAGCTCTTTTAAAAAGTTTTTAAAAGAAGACTCATCACCATGGGAGTGGAAAGAAGCACTCCACCTGTTACTTTCAGTGAAGGACCAGGGGCTTCGAACTTTAGGAGAAAATATTTCACAGTTGAAGACTGACCTCAATCTGCCATCCAATTTGGCAACTGATCCTGGGCAAAGGCTATGGATGTAGATTCCTGGTGTGCTTTTTTCTAATGTAAGACAACAGGCCCCGATCCCCAACCCAACTCCAGGCTCTGAAATGAAACAAATAACAATGACAATACTGTGTAGATCAATTACAAAGTATAAGGGACATTATAAATGGTAAACAGAAAGAACTTTAATCTAATTGTCCTAAGTTCCTACTTAATTCTCATACAAACGTCCTTTGAAACTATATAAATAGAACAGAAAAGTACAGCTCAGGAACAGGCCCTTTGACCCACTATGTCTGCACCAACCATGGTGCCATTTTAAACGAATCCCATCTGCCTGTTCATGGTTTGTATTCCTCTGTTCCCTGCCTGTTCATGTACCTGTCTAAATACCTCTTAAATAAAAATAAATAAAGTAAATAAAAATAACACTGACCCTACCGGTTCATTAACCAAATCAAAAATACTAAACCATAGCCTATTCCTGAGAAGAGTATATTAAATGAACAAAAATTTATCTCCTTTCCCCACAGACATTATTATCTAAAACTGTTCTCTATACTAAAGACAGTAGGAACTGCAGATGCTGGCTCCATCCCCGCCTCTTTGACTGGTCTGTCTCCTCTCCACCTATCTTCTCCTCTATCCATCTTCTATCCGTCTCCCCCTCTCTCCTTATTTATTTCAGAACCCCCTTCCCCTTCCCCATTTCTGAACAAGGGTCGAGGCCCGAAACGTCAGCCTTCCTGTTCCTCTGATGCTGCTTGGCCTGCTGTGTTCATCCTGTTCTCTATACTAGTTCCTTTGGTTCCAAATATATGGAAAGTAAGTATATAAGCGAGCAATTCATTGATGTCAATCTACTCTACTTTATGGGAAATGTACGCTCTCTATATAGACTACATTTTAGTGGAGTGCAAACACTTATATAAGGTCTCATTAATGTTGAGTTGCTTGGTACATTTCAGACTACATAAATATGTGCTTGCATTCTTACAGAGGGTGGTATTTAATGGGAGCAACTTTGTGTAGAATTCGGTTTCAGTGATATCCCATGTTGAAAGTGTTGTTTTGAATGAATGCATGACAAGAAAAGAAAATGTGGGCAGTGAATAATAATTTAGGTGTAATACATAGTGCAAAGGCAAATATGTAAAGGGAGTGAGCTTGTGTGATATATGTCCTTGTAAATATTGTGTGCTAATTTAAGGCCTGGATAATTTCAAATATGTGCATACCGTATAAGATTGCATACTGAAGATGGCAGAGCAGGAGGTCACAGTTGATTTTTTTTAAGAAACAGTGTAGAGACTTCAGGGAAAGCAAATAAGGTGTTGGGTATATTGTCAGCAGTATAATACAAAATTAGGAACTTTTCACATGTAAAAATCCTTGGCCAGCCAGACTTAGAGTTTAGTTTTGAATGCAGTTGTGGTCCAGACACACAACATTGGAAACTCAGGACAAGGGTGGAGGTTTCATTGAAGAAACAGAAGCGTCAGTATTTACAGTTATTGGGATTTTGTGTGCTCTGGACACATGGATATATTGTACAAAGAGGCTTTACCAAAACTCCATTTCACTTGGCAGTTAGCCAGCTAAAAAACTGACTGTTGGACAGGAAGCTCTGCAGTAAAAGGCTGTAATTGGATACTGGAGAGGAGAAAGAGAGAGAGAGAGATCATGGGTGGCATGATTGTGATGGGGCAGATTGCAGGGGCTGAAGATCAGATTGTGGTGGGCTGACATTCGCAGTTCCAGATGGTCATATGATAGGAGGGAGGCAGATTGTGTAAGATAAACTTGGAGGCACAGTGAGAAAGTACAGAGCGGAAAGGATATATTCTTGCTGAATCCAACAGTTCTCACATTCCTTCAGTTGTCTGATCTCCCAACCCCTGGAAATCAATATGGTTGCTAAAATCAGAACTATACAGCTCATTTAAAAATGATGCCTTCTAATCTGCTTCTCGGGAGCAAGTTAGTTACCTGACGGGGACTCAACTCTTCTGGTTAATTCAGAAATAGGTGCTCTCCTGGTAGGTTGGTATTGGATAATCCAAATTTAGGAGTCAAAAAAGAATTTACACAATTTTTTAAATGAATGGTCCATGCTGTTTTTTCCACCTTTTTCCTGCAGTTTGCATTTGCAGGGAAGGCAAACTGGGGGCACACACTGTCTGTGCCAAGCCTGGATCAGATGTTTTTGATTGACTAGTTTTTTGCTATTCTTTTTGTGGTTTCACATTTCACATTTATTATTCCTTTATCCATTGCAGTGAAAGCAGAAGTTCTAACTAATTTATACGCAGATAATCAGTAAAGCTTTGTTTGGGAAAAGGGGTCCTTTTAAGCAGTTCGCATTAGTGAAATAATTCTGAATGCCAAACAGAATTACTTTTTGTGTTCCATGATATTTATAGAGTAAATGTTATGAATTATGGTCAGAAAACTCTGAGGAGCTTGTTGATCTGCACACTTGAATTCCTGATACGTGTTCCTGTGGAATAAAATTTCTGCACATCTGTAAAGGAGTTACCTATATTAGCTGTACAGATAAAACAATGAAATTTTCAGTTATATTTACGGGAATTGGTGGAAGTTCATTAATACTGTTGCACAAATTATAACCCCTGGCAAACAGCCAGTACTAATCTGTGCCTGGATTATTTTATAAATCAGATATATTGGTGTCTTCCCAACAAACTACAGAAGACCAGGTACACAGACTACCTGAAAGTTAACTTTTCTAATTCATGTTTCCTGTGTGGAGCTTCCCCCAGATGAACCCCTTACAGGAACTTTGGTTGTGCATTCATCGCAAATCAGAACTTTGAATTTGCAATATTCTCTCCTAGAAAATATGCTCAATGTCAGGAACATACATTCAGAAAAATGTACACGTCAGTTATTTGCTTGCTGTTAACATACCCTTCAGAATTGAGCATTCTCAAGCTTCCATCTCACTTATTATTTGCATGGGGAGCAGATAGGGAGCAGATATTTTGACATGATCATGACTTCATTTTTATTCTTTCATTAGGTTTGGGTCTCATTAGCAAGGCCAGCGTTTGTTGCCCATCATAATTGCACTTAAACTGAATGCCTCGCTTGACCATTTCAGAGAGCTGTTAACAGTTAAATACATGTCGTTGTCGGCCTGTACAAGTGAGGCAGACAGATTTCCTTCCCTAAAGGTTTTAAGTGAACCAAATCATTTTTAATGAAAATCTATGATAGTTTCATGGTACCATTATTGAAACACACTTTCAATTCAATTTTTATTAATTAACTGAATATGTCACTTAATTGAATTTAAATTTGACAAGCTGCCATGGTGGGATTTGAACCCAGGACCCAGGGCACTAGCCTGGCCCTTTGGATTAACAATACATTGAGATTACCAATACAGCATCAGCTCCACTACATTTACAGCCTTTTTCTTTTCTTGGATGTTTTGTCAGTCTCAAGAGTTCCTGTAATTTGTACAGTTTTCAACATTTTATTGGCCCTTACATCACTCACATTACCTTTATTTAATGTCACCTCCATTATGATACGATCTTTTGGCCCTGGTCCTTTGCGACAGCAGTCACCTTCTTCAGATGCTGGGACTGGAGTTCCACCGCTAGCATTGGAATTGGGAGAGCTGGACCGACTCATTAAGGTTGGAGTGGGACAAGGAGTAAGGCTAGGACTGCGCAACCTAGTACGAACAGTAAGAGTCACTACTCCTTTCTTCAGTTGCTATTGGGAAAAATTATATACATTCACATTAGGATAGACAGATGAATGAATCAGTAAGCAGATTAATATCATTGGTTAAGTTTTATGAGACTGTGCTGCCATTGCAAAGTCACATTCAAATAGAATGAAAGTTGGAAGCCAAGGTACCTAACTCATAGTATCGGAGATCTAGGCCCAAAACGTTGACTCTCCTGCTGATGCTGCCTAACCTGCTGTGTTCGTCCAGTTCCACACTGTATTGACTCTAACTCATAGTATCCCTGATTTGTCTACCACTACAATGTAAAATTCACTTTCGAATGCCCAACACAAAAAGGAGATTATATCATTATACATCAGGTTGTTTGTAAGGAGATAATAAAACAGGTTAACTGAGAACGAGAAACACATGTCCTAACTGAATAGTGAGGATAATGCTCATTGTGTTGGAAGCTGGACAATCTCAGGAAATTTTCTTATCAGCCCTAACTAGTTAATCTGTCCATCTCCCGGCTTATATTGGACTTGATTTTCAATTACAGGGATAGGGAAGGAAAATTTTACAAGTGTATAATCCTGAATGCTGACTGATTAATTGAGAAAGAATCTGGTTTCTTAAAGAAAGGGTCCAAAATTGTTTTTTGGTACAAATTTTTGCAATGTACTCTTTAAGCCTTTGCAAAACAAATCCAGAAAAGTGAAGATGAAAGAGAGAGGGAATTGTGTTTATGACGTGATGAAGCTCCAAATTATTTGTGTGATTGTGAGTAAAGCATAAAGGATGTTGCTCTGTTTGATAACCCAAGCCATGTTCACTAGAGAATAAGAGTGCAACATGCGGAGTATTTTTGTTTAATTATTTCATGTGATGTGGGCATTGCTGACCAGGATAATATTTAGTGCCCATTTTTAACTGCCCATAAGGTAGTGATGAGCTATCTTTTTGAAAGACAATGTTCTGAAGAAGAGTCATACTAGATTCAAAATGTAACTCCGCTTTCCCCTCTCCACAGATTCTGCCAGACCTGCTGAGTTTCTCCAGAGAGTCAAATAGCACAGAAGATACCCTTCAGCCCATCAATTCTGCACCAACCTATCTAAACTAATCCTATTTTCAGCACATGGCCCATAGCCCTGAATTCTTGATTGGTAAGGGGATTAAAGGTTATGGGGAGAAGGCAGGAGGATGACCTAACCAAAGTTCTGTACAACTCCAACATAACTTCTCTGCTCCTATAATCTGTGTCACTAACTAAAGGCATGTGTCCCAATCGTTTTTATTCATTTGTGGGATGTAGGCATCACTGGCTGACCAGCATTTAATGCCCATCCCCAGGTGCCCTTGAGAAGGTGGTGGTGAGCTGCCTTCTTGAACCACCTGCTGCAGTCCACCTGCTGTGAGGGGACCCACAATGCCACTAGGGAGGGAATTCCAGGATTTTGACCCAGTAACAGTGAAGGAACGGTGATATATTTCCGACACACGATAGTGAGTGGCTTGGAGGTGTTCCCATGAATCTGCTGTCCTAGTCCTTCTAGATGGAAGTGGTTGTGGGTCTAGAAGGTGCTGTCTGAGGATCTTTGATGAATTTCTGCAGTGCATCTTGTAGATAGTGCATACTGCTGCTACTGAGCATCAGTGGTGGAGGGAGTGGATGCTTGTGGATGTGGTGCCAATCCAGTGGGCTGTTTTGTGCTAGATGGTGTCAAGCTTCTTGTTGGAGCTCCACCCATCCAGGCAAGTTGGAAGTATTCCATTACACTCCAGGCTTGTGCCTTGTCGAAGACGGGTGGGCTTTGCGGAGACAGGAGGTGAGTTACTCGCTGCCGTATTCCTAGCCTCTGACTTGCTCTTATAGCCACTGTGTTTATGCGGTGAGTACAATTGAGTTTCCGGTCAATGGTAACCCCAAGAATGTTGATAGTGGGGATTTGGTGATTGTAATACCACTGAATGTCATATTAGATTGTCTCTTATTGGAGATGGTCATAGCCTGGCATTTGTATGTTGTGAATGTCACTTGCCACTTGTCAGGCTAAGCCTAGATATGTCCAGATCTTGTTGCATTTGAACACGGCCTGCTTCAGTATCTGAGGAGTCGTGAATGGTGCTGAACATTGCGCAATCATCAGCAAACATCCCCACTTCTGACATTATGATGGAGAAAAGGTCATTGATGAAGCAGTTGAAAATGGCTGGGCCTAGGACAAATCCCTGAGGAACTCCTGCAGAGATGTCCTGGAGCTGAGATAACTGACCTTCAACAACCACAACCATCTTTCTAAGTGCCAGGCATGACACTAACCAGTCCCCGATACCCACTGATTCCAGGATTTCTAGATATGCCTTCTTAACCACCCTATTAACCCAACCTGCCACCTTCAGGGATCTGTGGACAAGCACCTTAAGGACCCTCTATTCCTCTGATCTTCCTAACATCCTGCCAGTCATTGTGTACTCCTATGTCTTGCTACGTCTTCCAAAGTGCATCACCTCTCACTTTTCAGGTTTAAATTCCATCTGCACATCTGACCACCTGGTCTAAATTTTTCTGTAACCCAAGACTTTTTCCTCACTATTAACTACCTGGCCAATCTTTGTGTCATCTGCAAACTTAACTAATCTCCCTCCCCACATTCTCATCTACTTCATTTATATGCATTATATACAAAAAAAATCTCTGATGTTGTGGTATGTTGCTGGATACTGGCCTCTGGTCACACAAACAACCTTCTGCCAGTGAGCGAATTTTGGAGCCATCTTACCAAGTTACACTTGGATCCCTTGTGTTTTTACTTTCTTTACCAGCTTCCCATATAGGACCTGGTCAAAAACTTTCCTGAAATCCATATAAACCACATCAACTGCATTACCTTCATCTATGCACCCGATCACTACCTCCAGCACTTGCTGTTTTTATTATTTTAGCAAGAAACCATCTTGGTACCAGTTTTATTGGAATTATTTAAGATAAACAATGGTTTTGTACGTGACATCTTACCTTGAAGGTTTGAATTGCCTGCTGATGAGTTAGTCCTTGCAGGGATTCCCCATTAACTTCTAGAATTTCATCTCCTGTTGAGAACAGGACAAACCTATTTACATCCTCTTAAAAGTGCATTGTCTATGTTGTGTTAAATGTTTGGCATAGCATCACTGTTAATTTAGTGTTGCTGTTTTAAAGAAAAAGAAAAATCAAATCACATTGTAATAGCGATTTAAGAAAAGTGAATAAACAATGACAAATTGATAAAAGTATTTAGTCACGAGTCCAATAATGTTATAAACCAATTAAACAAAAAGTGCTCGTCGAAATATAGAAGATAGGTGCAGGAGGCCGCCATTTGGCCCTTCGAGCCTACTCTGCCATTCATCACGATCATGGCTGATCGTCCAACTCAATAGCCTAATCCTGTTTTCTCCCCATAACCTTTGATCCCATCTGCCTCAAGTGCTTTTGAATACATTCAATGTTTTAGCATCAACTACTTCCTGTGGTAATGAATTCCACAGGCTCAACACTCTTTGGGTGAAGAAATGTCTCCTCATCTTCGTCCTAAATGGTCTACCCTGAATCCTCAGACTGTGACCCCTGGTTCTGGACACACCCACCATCAGGAACATCCTCGCTGCATCCACCAAATGTCAATTAGTAGACAAATAAAGCATTTTTGCAGAATAAAATTTAACATTGCTTCCATTATATTCCCAGAGAACTGCCAATCACTACAATTCTGTGCAAACTCAGTGAACAACAATACTTGGGAAATGAGAAGTGAAGGTCAGAAACTGGGCAGGGGCTCCAGGGGCACCTGACTAACAATTAAACAGTGTTAAAAATACATTAAACTATATAAACATTTGAAGTTGTATCATTCTGTATTTTACATCTTCACATCCTGCAAGTGTTCATACTCTGAAAGTGATATGCGCTACTCAACAAAATATTGATGCCATTGTAAAGTTAGTTGCTTTTTGTGGTAATTAATAATAATAAGGACCTTATAATGAAGTGCTGATAGTTATTAGTGACATCAGCCATGTGGAACTTATTACTGCTAAACCCTTTCTATCTACCTATTGTTATGATCCCAGCTGATGATAACATAGGGAAAGTCAGTTTCCAGAGCCAGAGCTGATTTGACAAGCCAAAAGTTTAATTCTTCTTTTGTTTACTGTGGAGGTCAATCACTGAAAATATTCACAAGAGGCTGCCGAAGTACTTTTAACAAAGTAACATGAAAATGTATTACAAAAAAGTTCAGCACAAACTACATTTCTCTATACAGGAACTATTGGAATTAATTCAATTTCTGATACCAGAAGGAAAGATCTATCCCTTTTACTCCAGCAATTACCTTGCGGATGCTTCAGTGAAGGGTCACCTCTATCTCCGAGCTAAAGCCTTTCACTCCTAAGCTGGCTTCCTAGTCATTTTACTAAAATCATGTGACTCCTTAGAAATGCATTTTTTAAAAATTCACTGTTCAAAATAGCTTTCTGACCTTTCAAAAAAAAATCAGACTTCCACAGAACTAAAAACTAAAACCTATTTTCCTTCCACTTTAGAATACAAGTTCCCAAATAACAATAACATATCAAGAACCTTCATCTTTTTCTAAATATAACAATTCAAAAAAAAGTGGAGAAATATCCATATGAAATTCCATAAAGGTGACAAATTGACAAATTTAAAGAGGTAAATTGGCATTGCGAGAAAAGAAAATAAAAATTGCATTTTTTGCTCTATTATTCACGGTAATTAGACTGCAGAGAAAGAGCAGATTTATGCAGACTGTGAGACATTACACAAGTGCCCATCCTGATCATTTTAGATCCAACAATAATAAAATGTCTTATTGGGCTATTGCCTGACATCAAAACCAGCTTTTCATGTTATTTTGTTCCTTAAATAAATTGTTTATTATAACTAGCCAGGGTTTGCTATGGTACAGATCATGCCAACTCTGAAAAGGGTCATTCTTCAGCTGTTGGGAGCCTGTAAATCATATAACAAGTGGTTTCACATTTAATTGGAGCACCTGAGAGGCTTAAATATAATTTACAAAATGGCAAGCTCTGTTTTCATAAGTTCTCTTAATGAGCCAAAAATAACAAGCTAAATTGAATAAGTCACTGCAGCATAACAAAGAGCTAAACCTTAAAATTATTTTAAAGTTGATATTTAAAAGTCACTATAAAAAAAATGACGGGGTCATCAGATTTGGCTTAATACCTAGTTTGCATCATCAACTGCTGATGATTTGGTTGCAAGCCATAAAATTTGTTTTAAATGTTATGATACCTCAGCACCCTCCTTCCCCACCAGTTTTCTTGGTCAAAGTTGTTTCCTTTCACTTTGTTTAAGTCACAAACATGATGTGCATTTGTAAACCATCAAAATTGACCAGAATTCTTTCTACACCCCACGATGCCAAATTTAGATTCAGGCAAATATGAGAACCATATTTGGATTCAAAAAGTTTGATACTAAATGAAATCTTATAAGCCCGTATTGATTTTATTTCAGAGATGTTATTACAGTTGACAATTTAGCTTCTTGATGAAATTTAATGACCCAAAGAAAAGCCGAGATCATTTTTTGGAGTATTTTCTCCTATGCTGACTTCATAGAATCATAGAATCCCTCCAGTGTGGAAACAGGCCCTTCGGCCCACCAACTCCACACCGACACAAACAGCATCCCACCCAGACCTATTCCCCTAACCTCCACATCCCTGAACACTACGGGCAATTTAGCATGGCCAATCCACCTAACCTGTACATCTTTGGACTGTGGTAGGAAACTGGAGCATCTGGGCGACACCCACGCAGACACGGGGAGAACATGCAAATTCCACACAGACAGTCGCCCAAGGGTTGAATCGAACCCGGGTCCCTGGCGCTGTGAGGCAGCAGTGCTAACCATTCAGCCACCGTGCTGCCCCAGAGACTGTCTTCTCTGACCAGTGATCAGCTGACAAAATTATATGTAAAGTAGAAAGAAAAATGTTATTGTACATTCTTAACCACACCTGTAAAATAGAGAGAGATTCACTGGGTGGCAGGTAGACAGACATCAGATATTGGCCAAATCCAATAATAAACTGAATTTGAGTCACGGTCAAACTCAGTTACCATAATATCAATAAAAATTGGGAACTTGTTTGTACTTTGCCGAAATTTAAAATAATCAATGACAATTTAAATATTGATCTACCCTACTAAAATTGTTAGTATTATCGGTGAGGATCAAAGGACAGTTTTCAGACCTTCTTTCAGTCTTCCATCAGCAGCAGCTGCACCATTTGGAAAAATAGTTTTGACAAATATTCCCATCCGTCCTCGAGCAGAATCCTGGCCACCAACTATACTGAAACCAAGACCCTGAAAAATACAGATCAAACAAAATATAACAAAAAAAATAGATAAATATACTCAAAAATGTATATATCGATGTTTCAGAAACATGTAGCCAGGTTCCTTAAGTAGCACATTTTGAGAAACTAAGGTGGAAGGTCAAACTTGAAAGACACGACAAAGGTTGGAAAGAATGCATTCAGTGAGCGCTATAGTTGTTGGTTATAAAACTGAAGTAATATTCTGGATGTTTGATGGATTACCTTCTGGAAACTGAGGGTCCTTCCAATAGCTTTTTTCCCCCTTTTGGCATCATGATGGGTTGAATAGTTTTCTGCTAATCTTTAATTTCTTTTAGACTCAATGTTGTGAGAAGAGTTGATTCGCTTTCTAATTTTTAAAATTCATCTCATGGGAATCACCTTGGTGTTATTGAATGTTTGAATTTTTTTTTTCATGAAAAACCATCGATGATCTCATGAGATATGACTATGAAAAATTACTCACATTCAATCTCTGATCTAGGCTGAATTAGCTGGGTTAGCACCAGGGACTACAAGTTATCAAAGGTTCCTACGGTTGGATAAAATTGACTCATTCTGCTTGCACACACATTAGGCATAGTAAGGTAGAACACAAAGCATATAAACTATACTGAAAAAAGTGAGGTAAACAACAGTGGCCCCGATACAGTAGATACTTACCTTTCCTTGCCCTTTCATTAGGACAATGTTCGAGATGATTGATGGCTGGGCTAGCCGCCATGGTGATTCCACGTGAACTGTGCTTAAGGAACGTGCTGACTTTTTTACGATTTGATACTCCTAAAAATGATAAGTAAAGAAGAAGGAGGTATATAGGCATGTTGTAGAGTCATTATCTAACTAACCAGTTTACATCAGGCTATAACTGGAATTTCTGGAAAGCGAGTAACTCATACAAACATATGAACAAGGAACAAGAGTAGGCCGCTCAGCCCTTACAGCCTATGTATTCAATGAGATCAAGGCTGATCTGATTTTAAACTCAGCTCTACATTCCTGCGTATTTCCAATAATCTTTCTTCCCCTTGGTAATCAAGAATCAATCTACCTCTAAATTAAAAATATTTACTGCATCCACTGCCTTTTGAGGAAGGGGAATTACAATGACTCATAAAAGATGTTTCCTCATCTCTGATTTAACTCGGCACTCTCCTATTTTTAAACTAAGGCTCCTAGTTCTATATTCTCTCACACAAGGTCAAGTCCCCTCAGGATCTTGTATGTTTTAAATAAATCACCTCTGACTCTTCTAAACTGCAGAGAATACAGGCCTCTGTACCTATACAAAATACTAGATACAGTTTAGACCACACTAAGAAACTGGATTATCAACTTCAGAATGACATGGAAAGTAAACTTTACAAATCAGAGTCTCTGGCTCAGTCATACATGCAATGCGACTAAAGATCATTAAGTTTTGTATGGAGATCAGCATGCTCCATAATGGAAAATTGACACTGGTTCCCAGAACAAAATTCCTAACATGCAGACATGAGTCATAAAATTCACTTTTAAATTCAGCCTTGAAGGATGTCTGTAATTCCTCTAAGGGCAAGGGTTCCAGGAATGAAAAATGTCTGTCATAAAGGTGGATTAGAGAAATTAGGACTGTTTTCCTTGGAGAAAAGAATGGTGAGAGGAGATCTGATGGAGATATTCAAACTCATAAGGGTTATAGACAAGGTCGGAAGAAACTGTTCCCACTCCTGAAAGGATCAAGAATGAAAGGGCAGAGATCAAAAGTAAATCAGAGGTCAAAAGGGGCATAAAGAAAACATTTTCACACTGCAAATGATTCAGGTCTGAAATTCTCTGCCTGGAGACAGGATCAATTGAAGCATTCAAAAGGGAATTAAATTGATATCTAAAAAGGGTGAATTTGCAGGTTATGAGGAGAAAGTGGAAGAATGGCACTAATAAATTGCTATTCAGAAAGACAGCTCAAACATAATGGTTCCAATTTCCACCCCACTCTCACTTTCAGCTGGTTCATTTCCAACTTCTCTCTTCCCTTCCTTGACACCTCTATTTCCACTTCCAGGGATGGACTGGCCATCAATATCCACTACAAACCCATCAGCTCCCACAGTTACCTTGACTATACACCCTCACACCCCACTTCCTATAAGGACTCCATTCTATCCTCCCAGTTTCTCCTTCTGTCATATCAATTCTAAGGATGCCATCTTCTTCAGGGGGCTGCCTCGGAAATGTCCACGTTTTTCCTCAGCTGAGAATTCTCTGCACTGTGGTTTGGCATGGCCCTCAGCCAGGTCTGACTCATCTCCTTCACTTCAGTCCTCAACCCTTATCTTCCCTCCCACAACACTGGTAGGGTCTCCCTGTCCTCACATACCACCCCATCAGCATCCACATCCAAAGGATCATAAAATGCCATTTTCATTACCTCCAGTGGGATGCCACCATCAGACATAGATTCCCCTCCCAGCATTCCGAAGGGACCATTCCCTCTGGGACACCCTGATCCACTCCTCTTCCACTCCCCATATCTCTCCACATCCTCATGGCACCTTCCCATGTAATCACAGAATGTGTATTACCTGCCTGTTTCCCTTCTCCCACCTCATTATCTAAGATCCCAAACGCACCTTCCAGCTGAAGCAGAAATTTACCTGCACTTTACTCAATCTAGTCTACTGTATTTGTTGCTCACAACGTGGTCTCTGCTGTGCAGTGGGGAAACAAAACACAGATGGGTGAATGTTTTGAAGAACTACATTCTGTCTGTAAAAATTACTTTGAGTTTTTTGTTTTTTGACGCTTCAACTGTGTTCCTGCGCCAATATTTCTGTCACAGGCCTGCTGCAGTGTTGCAGCAAGCCTTAGCGCAAGCTGTACTCTCAATTTTCGCTTGGATGCTCTGCAGCCTTCAGGAATCAATTTCGAATTCAGTAATTTTATAACGTGAACACCTTTTTCCGCATGCTTAGGCTACCCCAACACCCCAAGTCATCATGATAAGGGCTGCTTTGAACAAAGCCAACACAATTTCACCTACATATGGGTCTCCATTATCAGCTTTCCTTTCTCCTTGGCTTACCAATATCCATCCCCTTGTCTGCCTAACTGCTGTTCTTGCTGCCTGGGCTCCACCAACAAACACCACTCCTCCCCCAAAAAAAATTCTCTTTAGCATTTATTCCACTTTTTCCTTGCAATTATCACTTCAGAAGAAGGGAAACTGGACCTGAAACGTTTACTGCTTTTTCTCCACAGATGCTGCCAGGCCTGTTGAGTTTCTCCAGCAACTTCTGGTTTTGCTCATAAAATAATGTGGATAAAGGCATGAACCCTTTTCTGTTAGAAATCATTTGATTACACCCTGTGAATTAATATGCAGTTTGCTGTTCTGACCAAGCCACATTCATGAATTTAAATTTAGGAGGTCTTGAGAAAAACTATTTACGAGAAATATGACCAACTTAACAGCTGCATACTGATAAATTAGATGAACACAGTAAAAATGCTGGGCACACACCTGTCGAATACCAGTTGCATCAAGCTGCTGGGGAAGGGAATGCTTGCGGCCTCCTCGTGCTGGCTTTTCCGACATGTCACAACTTGCTTCACCATTTTCCACTATCAGCTCATCATCTTCACCCACAGATTCCAAGCGGCTCCCTCCGCCTGTCAAAGAAAGCCGAGTGAGAATCAGACAGAAAACTGTACGCATTTCATACAGAAATTTAGTTAGCAGCCTATGTCAGGAATTTGTGTTGATCCCCACAATTTTTTGGCCATTAATCTATGGCGTCGTGTGCCTGAGCTCATACAATGCTTTCCTGACTGAAGATCTGACCTTTCAAGAAAGATTTGCAGGAGCATGGATTTAGAAAATGAGGCCAGTTTCTCAGTTATGATGTGATCAGTGAGCTGCAAATATCAACAGCGCTACTTCAGAGTTTCAGGCAATGTCAGTCCAATCCTGTTAGTGTGAAGCACTAGTCAAGACAACCTATTTGGGATCCCAGAATAATTCCAGTATTACAGAAAGAATTTAAAGATAAAGCAAATATGAATTCTGATCGGTATTATTCCTTGAGAAGATTCAACAAAACAGTACCCATTTCTCACATACGATTGTTTTAACTGTTAATAAATAAATATTACAAATTAGAAAATGATACATTTATACAAAAACACTCATGACATTTTGATACATGATGTAGTATCAGACAAATTCACTAACAGATGTAATTCGGATAATCACCAGATAAAATTAATATGTGAACGAAAGTGTCATGGGTTGAGGTAGCACTCTTAACAATTATAAAATGCTTCTGGTCCACAGCTGACTTGGAGACGCTAAGGACTGCAGATTCTGGAAGCCAGAGTCAATAGACGTGAAGCTGGAAAGGCACAACAGGTCAGACGGCTTCCGAGGAGCAGGAAAGTCAACATTTTGGGCTGAAATCCTTCGTCAGGACTGAGGAGGGGGAGGAGAGCCCAGAAGTATATAGAGAGAGGGGGGTGGGGTTGGGGCTCGGTGAAGGGTATGTGGGATGGTGATAGGTGGGGGTTATTGTGATTGGTCAGTGGGAAGGGTGGAGAGGGTAGGTGAGTAGGAAGATGGGACAGGTTAGATCAAATTATGGAGGTGAGGAGGAGGGGGAGGCTGGACATGGGATAAGGGCGGAGACGGAGGGATTTTGAAGCTGGTGAAGTCAATATTGAGGCCATTGGGCTGTTAAGCTCCCAAGGTGAAATATCAGGTGTTGTTCCTCCAGTTTACGTTTGGCCTCACTCTGACAGTGGAGGCAGCCCAGGATGAACATGTCATCAGGGGAGTGGGAGGGGGAACTAAAATAGATGGCAACCGGAAGGTCGGATTGGTTGATACGTGCAGAGCACAGATGCTCCATGAACCGGAGTCTGCATTTGGTCTCCCTGATATAGAGGGGACCACATTGGGAGCAACGGATATAATAGATCAGGTTGCATGAAGTGCAGGTGAAACTCTGCCGCATCTGGAAGGATTGTTTGGGGCCTTGGATGGAGGTGAGAGAGGAGGTGTAGAGGCAGGTGTTGCATCTCTTGTGGTTGCAGTGAAAGGTACCGGGTGTAGTGGAGAAGTTGGTGGGAAGTGTTGAGCTGACGAGTAAGTCACAGAATGAGCGGCCCATACAGAAAGTGGACAGGGATGGAAAGGAAATATCTTTTTGGTGGTGGGGTCTGATTGTAGGTGGTGGAAATGTCAGAAGATGATGCTTGGATTTGGAGGTTGGTGGGTGGTACTTGAGGACTGAGGGGACTCTATCCTTATTGTTGTTGAGGGGAGGGGGTTTGAGGGCAGGTATGCAGGAAATGGAGGAGATGCGGTTGAGGGCATCCTTAATTACAGAGGAGGGGAAATTATGGTCCCTAAAGTAAAAGGACATCTGGGATATCCTGGAGTAGAATGCCTCATCCTGGGATGTGGTGGAGGCAGAGGAATTGAGAGTATGGGACAGCACTTTTGCAGGAGGGTGAGTGAAAGGAGGTGTAGTCAAGGTAGTTGTGGGAGTCAGTGGGTTTCAAATGGATGTCAGTGGTGAATCAGTTTCCAGAGATGGAGATGGAGAGGTCCAAAAAGGGGAGAGAGGTGTTAGAAATGGTCCAGGTGAATTTGAGGGCAGGTTAGAACGTGTTGGCAAAGTTGATGAACTGCTTCAGCTCCTCGTGGGAACACGAGGCAGCACCAATATAGCAGCAAAGAGGTGAGGGATGGTGCCTCGAGGCAGTCAAGTCCCTTCAGGATTCTGTATGTTTCAAAATAAATCACCTCTGATACTTCTAAGCTGCAGAGGATACAGGCCTAGCTTGTTTAGCATTTCTGCATAAGGCAATCCATTCATTCCAGGTATTAGTCTAATAAACCTCTGAACTGCCTCCCTATGGCATCCTTCCATAAACTTGGTGACCAGTACTGAACTCCGCATGTGGTTTCACCAATTTCTGTATAACTGAAGCAAAACCTTCCTACTCTTGCATTCAATTCCCCTCGCAATAAAGCATAATATTCAATTAGTTTTCCTGATTACTTGCATTCTAACCTTCAGCTCCATCTAGAGGAATGCACAGCAACGTAGGAAGAGGGCCAATGACCTTCTCCATTCTGCAGGCATAAGTGCCTCCATGAACCTTAGTGGGAGGTGGGTACAGCAGCATAAAGTGAGTGAGAGATATTGGAGAGAAGGTGGTGGCACTTATGCCAGCAGAGCGGAGAAGGTAACTGGTCCTCTTCCCATATTGCTGTGCATTCCTCCAGAGCAAAAAAAAGCATGGTTAACAGAATATTGAATACAAGCAGTAGTTACACTACCTACCTTGAGATCTGCTCCTGAATTTCATTACACTGCCGCCTGGTGTTGGACTTCGACAACTGAACTGTGGCATTTCTACACGCTCATGGGTATCGCCTTTGTCAGTTTCTGAAACCTGCAATAAAAGACCAAACAATACAAAAATAACAAGTAAAAGAAAGGAACACCTGCTTTTACGTAGCAATTTTCATGACCTTGAGGCATCAAAGCACTTCCATGACAATGAAATACTTTTGAAGCGCAGCCACTGTTATAATATGGAAGGACTGCAGTCAATTTGTGCAGTGTATTCCCACATGATAATGTAATCCTGTGATTTAATTGAGGGATGAATATTGACCAGGTGACCAAGGAAGAATTCCCATTCTCTTCATGTCTGCGTAAGAGGGATGGTGAAACATCAGTTTAAAGTCACTCCTGTAAAACAACATCTCAAACATTGCAGCACTTCCTCTGTATTAAACCGGAGGTTTATCTTAGATTTCTGGACTAGTATTTGAAATGGTAATTGAACACACAATCTTCTGATTCAGAGACCCAATTGGTACCTAATGCCTGCTAATTTCGATCAAAATCATGCCTTTCATTTTCATTGTGTTTACACTCCTTTACTGTGATTAATTTACTTTCAATTAGAGAATATTATTACATGTAGTTTGTGAAGAAATATTCAAGAAAAGATTATAAACTGGTCATAATAGCCATAATGAAATACCACGGACAGTGGAACTTCATTAGACTAGACAACATGTCAACTTTAATAGAGATAACAAGGTGTAGAGCTGGATGAACACAGCAGGCCAAGCAGCATCAGAGGAGCAGGAAGGCTGACGTTTCGGGTCGAGACCCTTCTTCAGAAATGGGGGGAGGGGAAGGGGGTTCTGAAATAAAGAGAGAGAGGCGGGGAGGCGGATGGAAGATGGATAAAGGAGTAGATAGGTGGAGAGGAGACAGACAGGTCAAAGAGGCGGAGATGGAGCCAGTAAAGGTGAGTGTAGGTGGGGAGTTAGGGAGGGGGTAGGTCAGTCCAGGGAAGACGGACAGGTCAAGGAGGCGGGATGAGGCTGGTAGGTAGGATTAGTTTCAGCATTTCATTATAATGGTAGACTGGTTTTCATGTGAAATTTGACAGAGGGAATTTAGTTAATAATATCAAACATTTCCAAGAGACTTGTACAGTATTTACATAAAAGTGTTGAATTTACAATGATGAAGAAAATACAACCAAGAAACAAAAGAATCACAATATTTCCTGCATTCAAGTGATTAAACCCAGTTACAAATGGATTAAATATCTTTAAAAGGTACTCACTAATAAACGCATCTTTAGCAACATAAATAAATAAATTACTATTATTAACCGCAGATGTCTAAGACAAATTGGAAACAGGATAGAGGGGTGAATGGCCTACTCAGGTTTCATTGTAAATTCTTAAAGTCACAGATGCTAAATTAGAATTGTTGCTATTGAAAGTTACTTTCTCTTTGCCATTATGCACCTAATTAGTAATTCAGTTTAGAACCTCTTCCTGAATCCCAAATATCTACATGAACCAAGACAATTTCAAAATTCATTAATTTGCAATAACCACAAACTCCATTATTTCCTTAAAGAATTCCAGTAGACTTATCAGCAGTAATTCATTTTTCGTAATTCTTGCTGAGTTGTTTTCTATAAGCTTTTAGTTGCGTCATGTTTCAAAGGCAGCAGGGCCAGACTGTCCCAGCAGCAACCAAAGTTAGGAAGGTAGCAGGCAGGAAACAGGCACAAACTTGCCCTTTCCTTCTACAATTCATCTGACGCTTGAGTACCCAAAGAAATTGCTGCCAAAATCATCTCAAGGGTGTCACATGACAGCAACATCCATCTACCAGCTTAACTGAGTTCCTCATAGAAATAAACATATTAATTAACCTTTTGTGAAAATCTCTAGAATTGACCACTTAAGATGATTAAAAAACACCATGGCATTATGTTTGGAATCAAAATAAACACCTTAATTCACCTACAACTTTAACTTACGAGTTCTTTTCCCGAGACTCAATTTATGTAATGCTGTCTCAAATATTGCTCTTTAATTCCCCTTAACACACATTAGGATATTTTACCATGAATAGCTCCTATAAAAATACAAGCTGTTGTTGCATCGTCAGAAATTCATTGACAAAGAGGTTGGCTGAATTGTTTCAATGCTCTTCAAAGCAGAATCAAAGAAGTGATGAGATATAACAAGGACTGATAATGCTGAGGGACTTTGGCTAATATTTCCGGCAAGGCAATTGATAAACTTATTTAAAGTCTAAGCTGTCAAATATCTCTTGGCATGTTTAGCTGCTGTACACTTTGTGGGCCTTGCACTTGTGGTTGTCTTTCACTTCCAGTTAATTCTTCCTTATCTGATGCTACTTTTTGTGGGCCTACTACTGCTTCCATCTTCTTTGTACTCCTAAGCTGTGCTTGATATAGCAAACTATACTGATACACCCTATCATAGAGCACTTAAGGCATCTCAACCTTTTCTTCAACTTGGCACAGCCATGCTATATGATGCTCCTGGAACTATCATTACACCCTGTATAGTTCAGGCATGGGAGGTTGCTGAGTAGTGTCATTACCAAGATAAGCACAGTCTCATTGCCACTTGCAGTTATCTTTTGATATGCTTGGATAAGTGGAAACATGGTAGATAGGTGGGTTTTACAGAATTAAGGCATTGTGGCACCTAGTAGTGAAACAGGCTTGGACTTGCACTATCCTCCTACATTTGGTCAGACACCAGTTCAACATTAATGGATCAGAAGCTGCATCTGTTCACATAAGCAACTAGCTCAACCTACGTCTTAATAGTTATATGCAGTCTGTTTTCCCACTGGACATGAGTGAAGCCTGCACCACTGAAAATCCCAGATCTGTCTCGTTCTGGATGGTAGCATCTATTATGAAGATGTTGGACTGGTTAATTTGACAAAGACAAATTGGTGACCAGTTTGCTACAGAAAGTGCAGCTGCAGACCGTGGGATCCAACTCCTATCTTAGTATATCCCTGAGGCATTTGTCTGTTTCTGGTGCCAACATTTACGATTTGAGCCACCTCCCATGTTAAAAATGGACATAGCAGGTTTCTGACAGGAACAAAGCTGTGAGTCGATTTGTCAATTTTCATTTCCAGTTTTCTCTTAGAGTCCTATGCGTTTCCTTGGATTTTGGGAACGGTTCTGCCCAAAATGGGACCTGCAGAGGCTGAAGCGATTGCACTTGAACAGAGGAAGAGCCAATATCATTTCGAGGTTTGCTTGTGATTTTGAGGACAATTTAAAGAACTTTGCAGGAGCATGGGAATCAGGAAGTACTATTAGCGAGGAAAGTCATGGTGCGTAAAGGAATTAGGAGAGACCAACTTGTGGCACAGTGGCAATGTCTCTAGCTGCGAACCAGAAGCCCTAGGTTCAAGACCCACCTGCTCCAGATGTGCATAATAATATCTCTGAGCAAGCTGATTAGCAGATATCTTAAATATGTAAAGATTAGAAGGAAAGTGAAGTAAGAGAAACAAAGAAAGTGTAACTTAGAAAATAGGAGCAGAAACAGGCTACTTGGCCCTTCGAGACTGCTTCACCATTCAACATCATCATAGCTGGTCATCTAACTCGTACCTTGTTCCTGCATTCTCCCCTTTGATTCCTTTAACCGAAAGAACCATATCCATCTCCTTCTTGAAAACTTTAGTGCTTTGGCCTCAACTACCTTCTGTGGCAGAAAATTCTACAAGCTTACCACTCTCTGGGTGAAGAAATTTCTTCTTATTTTAGTCCTAAATGCTTAACTCGTATCATTAAACTGTGACCTGTGGTTCTGCACTCCCCAGTTTTCTGGTATATCCTTCCTGCATTAACCCTGCCGAGTCCTGTTAGAATTTTTTAGGTCTCTATGAGATCTCACCCCCCACCTCATCTTCTAAACTCCAGTGAACATAGTCCTAACTGATCCAGTCTCTCTTCATACATCAGACCTATCATCCTAGGAATCTGGGAAACCTTTGTAACACTCCTTCCATAGCCAGAAAATCTTCCTCAGATAAGGAAACCAAAACTGCATTGGTCTTACCAAGGCCAAATATGACAAAATTCTATCAGGTAACATAAAACAGAATTCAGAAGCGTCCTACAAGCATATGAATGACAAAAGTGTGGTTAAAAAAGAGGACTTCAGATGATTAGGGACCTAGAAGAGGCCTTGTTTGGAGTAACAGGGCATGGCTGATATATTGAAGCATACTTTGTGTCTGTCTAAACCAAGAAAATAGATGCTGCCACATCACAATGATAGTCTAGACTGGCTAAAAATTTGGAAACGGGGTGCATTTGAAACTCTCTTTGCACTTAAAGTTAATAAGTCACCAGGCCAGATGAGATGCACCCAATGACACTGACAGAAACAAGAGTGGACATTGTGAAGGTAATACCAGACCTACCAATCCACCTTAGATACAGAAGACTGGAGAATTGCACATATTACAACTTTTTTAAAAAATAGGTGCAACATTAACCGAGTAACTGCAGATCAGTCAATTTAACCTGGGTGGTGGGAAAGCTTTTGGAAAGATAATCCAAAACATGTTCAATAAATGCTTGAAGGAGAGTTGATTAAGTACCATATAACAAGATTATTAAGCTTACGTTAAAGTTACATCTCATGGAGTAAAATGGGTAGTGCAGATACAAAAATAACTAAATGAAAAGAAACAGAAAGTAGAGGTGAACTTGTATTTTTGGTCTGGAAGAAGGTAGAGAGTAAGGTTCTGAAGGGTGGGCATTAGGACTGCTATTTTAATATTAACGAATCAGCCTTGGGTGTGCAGAGCACAATTTCAAAATTTGCAGACGACACATACTTGGAAATATTGTGAACTGTGAGGATGATAATGATAAACTTCAAGAGGGCATAGATAGGTTGGTGGAATGGATAGTTAAGCGGCAGATAAAATTTCTTTTATTCATTCACGGGATGAGGGTGTTGCTGGAGAGGTAGCATTTATTGTCCATCCCTAATTGCTCAAAGGTCAGTTAAGAGTCAACCACATTGCTGTGGGTCTGGAGTCACATGTCAGACCAGG